CATTTACCAAAATTTACACGGTCAATGCCGAAGCCCAAAAATGCTTCAGTGTTATTTTATAAAATGTTTTTTTAGTTATTAAGTCTTTCTATAAAAAAATACGTTTAAATGAGAAAAATTTTACACCAGCTCCCTGTTTTTTAAACCAAAAACTAGGCAAAAAAATTAATACGCCTGGTTGTGACAAGTGTGCAACTTTATTTTTTTGTTTTTTATTCACAACAAAGGGAAACTTTATTTTTCAAGGGATTCATGAGGATTGTTAATTTTTCTGAGGATGGTAAATATCTTAAACATAATTTCTTTCAATTTAGATTTTTTTGCCTAAGATCAAAAAGGTATATTTTGAAACACATGATTTTCTTTAAAAATGCTATTTATGGATTGTTTGAAAGATGATTCTTTCAGTTGATTTTTACAAAAAAAATAATCTACTTCTATTTTTTGATTTACCACTCGACTAACCTTGGTTTATATGAAAACATTTGACAGACATTTAAATTATCGAAAAAGTCGATTTTTTAATCAAAATCACAAAACAAATTAATCGAACAATTTTTAATCTTTTTTACAAAAATAATTTATTATAAATCAATTCATGATATTTCAAACAATAAAAATTGATAGCAAATAACATATTTATAATGTATACTCTATGCGATGACAATTTATGTATTTGCGCAAATTCAAAACGAGAGGTTTTGGATAACGATAAAACAACGATTGATAAATAAACAAATTTTTAAAATAAAATCATTTTTGTTTTAAACGGTTTTATTTATATTTCAAAACATATATACACAAGAAATATATGTTTATATTATTTTTTATACAATATCAATTCTCAATGAAAATGTGTTCAATTTACTAATTAATTTTATTTATTAATTGACATTTTTGTTGTGTTTTGACGATTTTTGATATAATCAATTATCAAAACCCACTTTATAAAAATTCTTTGATAATTTTATTTATAGAATTTTAAATCAATAATGGCAGTGCTATAAATATCTCTGAGGATGGTAAGTCGTGTAACAAACAGACTTTATCAACACAGACTTAAACATCTAAAAAGTGAAATGACGTGTTCCCATGTTCAAAAATAGTAACTTACTCAATATACATTTCAGACAGATGTAAAAGTGTAAACTTTCTATTTCTGTCATCCTCAGAAAATAATTGCCATCCTCAGAACTGTAAATCTGTTTAAAACACAAGTTAATATCAAAATAAAACAATCATATTCAAATATACACAATGTGATTAACTTTGTTATTACAACAAATTTGAATAATTGCATAAATTACAAAATTATTAATAAATTTGTTATTTTAAAATTACATTTTTTTGAAAATCAGTGTTTTCTACTTTTTCAATTTTCATTTTGATAAAAAACAATTATCAATTTAAACGTAAATTTTAATCGTTTTGTTATAAAGACGGATTCGGAAATAATATCAATAAGTATATAATCATAATATGAACAAGTTTAATTCATGTTTTGTTGTTTCCCGTCTCAAGTTCGCGAGATATAATTATTGTTTTTGTTTACTGATTATTGTGGAGATTTTTTGATTGTATTTATTTTTTTGGCATTTATGACAAATTATTACCATCATTTAAAATTTGAACTTTGACTCGAAATAATAAGTGTAAATTATAACTTGAGTTATGAGAGTGGGCTTTATGGGGAACTGAACCTTATGGATTTATTTTTTGTATCCTCAGAAAAATATTTTTTAATAAGGATAGCTTTGATCCTGAGGATACACCTTATCCTCAAGAAACCCTTCAACAATTACAAAAAGTTGAATTAGGTTATAAATCAACATAAAATATAACTCGATATTTAAATGATAAGTTCAACTGCTTGTTTAATTAAAAAGCATTAAAAACAAAAAAAATTTTAATAGTCATACAGAACGAATAAAACAGTGTTGTACACCGATTGTGGATCGCGCAGATATTAAACATCTCGTTTATAAAAAAGAAAATAATGAGACAAGTTACTTCATGTGATTCAAAGACCTTCTCGCTGCAAAATTTTCGATAAACAAAAAGCAGTTGAATGGTGCAAACCAAAAAACTAATTGAGAAAAATTGTACAACTTTAGTTATAGTTTAATTAGAGTATTTTAATTAGAGTTATAGTTTTAAAGAAATTTGTTTGTGTTTTTTTGTTTTGTTTCTAAAAAATATATATAATTGTTTACTATAATAATACTATAAACAAAGTTGCACTGACACGTCAAAGTTGCACGGTTTAAAGAATGACTTTAGTTGAAAATAAACTAAATTATTTAAAAAAAACTTATTTATTGATTTTTTAAATTATATAAAAAAAGAATCTTTATTAAAATTTAATTTATTGTTAATTATTTGTGGTAATATTTGACTAACAACAACAACAACAACAACAACAACAACAACAACAACAACAACAACAACAACAACAACAACAACAACAACAACAACAACAACAAAATCTTAATCATTTTTTTTCAAATACTTTTTGTGTTATTTTTACTAATTTTGTAAGAATCAAAATTAGTAATATAATATATAATAATTATATATTATAACAGGTTTCTTGCATAAAATAAAATTTCACATAAGGTAAAATAATCACATTGTATTACTTTTCTCAAACAATTAAAAACAACAAACATTATTTTTTTCTACTAATATATATTTATGAAATTAATTAATTTACCATCTTAAAACTTAAATAAAATTAAAAATCACTAAAAATAAAAAGATACATTTCGAAATTGTATTGTCTTTTTTAAAAACAAAACAATAATAATTAATACTTTTTTATGTCTTTTCAGTTCAATCACCATTTAATCAAAAACAAAACAAATTATCTCATTTAAACAAATGACCAAACTTCAAATACAAAAATAAAATGCTTGTATTCTTTTATTAAAATAATAGTTCATTTTATTAAAAATTTAATAATTAAAACGAAACTTGAAAAATCAAAAACACAAAATAATATTTAAATCACATATTTATATTGTTAAAAACATTAAAACGATGACCGTTTGTTATCTTACATCATAAATGTTGAAATGACCATGTAGCACATTCATGAGACTTGATACTTACTCGAGTTACAAGTAAGCCCACTCATATGGCATTATTCCTTGTAATCACCCATACGGTCGAGCCTGCCTTGCAATATATCATACCGACCGAACAAGACATAAAAAACAAATACCCTTATGAAATATGTTATGTTGTATAAAAAACATAATCCCCATTCAAAAAAAAATCGTTGTATTGAAGATTAAAACAGAGGATTTTTCCACAGTAAAATTGGAAATGAAGATACAGTTTGGCTCTAAATTAAATATGATAGAGCACAAAAACATTAATGTGTTACACCAATATGTGTATAAAGAGTGGGAACCGGGCTAACTTATCTTTAAAAAAACAGAAAAAAACAGAAAAAAACAGAAAAAACAGAAAAAACAGAAAAAAACAGAAAAGTTTGGGAAGAAAAAACAAAAGAATTACAAGGATATAATTAATTAATTATGAGTATTATTTAATTAAACATATTACTAAATTTTATAATAAAATTATTATAAATTGTAGCTTTATAATTAATAATTATTAAAAAATACTTTGTCAATCGTTTTATTTTTTATACGTATAAAGTTAGTAAAAGATTCAATTTCAGTTGAAATAACAACTTAAAATGACATTTATTCTAAAATAGTTTCCATATACACACAACTATTTGGTGTGTGTATGTGGGAAAAACATTTAATAAACTAAATATAATTCAGAACATTTGAATATTATTTAACATATTATTCTTTTTATTTTTTAATAAATTTTAAACAAAAATTTACGAAAACCGAACTATATAATTATAATGAGTACATTAGATCCATACCACATGATGGTTGTATCAAAATACTTTACAAAAATAAGTGATTTTATACACATTGAATTGACGTGCAAAAAGTATGTAAACAACATGGAGAAGTTCCACACGAATCCAATTCCGGTTGATAAGAAGACAATTCATTTTTTTCCAAATCTTGAGACTTTTAACATTTGGTCGAGAGAAACTGAATTATTTGGAAATGACATATTTACAGGGGCGTGGGTCAAGAAACAGAGTCGAATTACTTTCTATAAGATTAACGTGTGGTTTGCAGTGGATTACACATTTACTCAAACCCACAAGACCGAAATATTTGTGTTTAAAAATGTGATTTACACCATATCAGACAGAAAAAAATACGGCGATTTTATTCCAGACAACATCAGGGCGTTAGGGGACAAATGTTTTTCTATGTCAACCGCGAAGGAAGTTTGTGTACCAAACGCAGTCAGTTTTATATCACATGGGTGTTTCTACAAATGCAATTCATTGACTTCAGTGACCCTTCCACGAACATTGCAAAAACTTGAACACAACACTTTTGCGATGTGCAGTTCAATTTCTTCTGTGGACATCCCAAAAGGTGTCATAGCAATTGATGATTTTTGTTTCAAAGAATGCACAGCACTGTCGTCAATAGAATTTCCTGAGAATATCTCTGTTATCTCCAAAAGTTGTTGCGAAAATTGTTATAAGTTATCAAGTGTTATATTTCCACCACATTTGGAATCGATCAACGAGTGTGCTTTTTGCGAGTGTTCGACTTTGAGTTCAATTAAAAATTTTGAGTGCAATTCCTGTGTTGGAGACAAAGTGTTTTACAAATGCGTGAATTTAACAACAGTGGAAATTAAAGGGAAAATTAAAAGCTTTGGTAGCTATTGCTTTGGTATGTGTAAGTCGCTTGTCATAATAAAACTGCCAGAAAGTGTGACTGAACTTCATTTTGGGTGTTTCAATGGATGTACAAGTTTATGTTCTATAACATTGCCAGAACAATTGAAAGATATTCCTGATTATTGTTTTGGAGAATGTATAAAACTAAGCGAGTTTGTTATACCTAGCAATGTCAGTTCCCTTGGTGAAATGGCGTTTTCACGTTGTGTTTCTTTAAAGGGAGTTGTCATATCAACTAGTGTTAAGAAAATAGAATCGAAATGTTTTTGTGGATGCACTTCTTTGATAATTACAATGCCAAAAATAAAAATACAACTTGGGAAAAACTGCTTTGAAAAATGTAAAAAGATTATCAAAAAATAAACAATAACAATGTAATTATTTTGGTTTTTTTGGTAATAATAATTTTTTAAAAATAAATTTATAATTCTTGTTGGATTTGAAAAAGTGCAGTGATGGACAAATTATAAAACATTGATATTCTAAACATTAATTTGTTTAGAATAATAATAAATTTTACAGCATTAACATAAAGACGAACAGTTTACTACCAAAACATATGGCGATGCTAATAATATTAATTAAACAATGTTCAATTACTTAACATGGAATTAGTAAAATATAACAATAAAAGCTGTTAACAAGATTTAAATTTGAAATTCAACAAGTATTAAGTTTATTAAAGGTGACAATATAAACCGTTTATAAGTGTTTACACACCGTTGTTTATTGACATTTATATTTGTTCTATCTCAATAAAAACGATAATAATGAATTTTGAATTATAATTTAAGTGAAAAAAATGTAAATAGTTGAATTGTTTTTAAATTTAAAATTGGTCAAAAAATTGTTTGTAAACAATTTAAAATTTAAAAATGAATAACTATTTTGTTATTTTATTACGTCATGAACCATGATGTTTGTGTTCAAACTCAAAATTTATTATTTGCATGATTCTTGTGTTATTTTTATTGTTTTCTTTAAATTATGGTCTCAAATGGTGTAAATACAACAATTCGATAATGTGTGTTGATTCAAATGTTGAATGTATTAATTCATTTCATTGGAGTGTTGAAGATTCGATATTATTTATCAACGAAACAGAGATAAATGTTTCAATTCAATGCACAATAGAAACAGAGTTAAAAATTTATACATCAAAATACGAAGTTATCAATTTAATGTTCACTAGAGTTAAAAAAGAATTTCGTGTTATTGATTTTTTAAAAAACAAAACTCTAACACATAAAAAGGATAATTGTTTAATTGCGTTTTGTTCGTTATGTTTTGATGATGATGTAACAAAATGTTTAGAGTGTAATGACGAGTATTATTTAACATCAAGGTTCCTTTGTACCCCATGTAAGAATTCAATGTGTAAAAAGTGTTATGCAGATCCGTTTAAATGTTCTTCTTGCTTTGATGGATTATTTTTGAATGACACTACTTGTAGTCTGTGTAGCAGTAATTGCAAAACATGTAGTTCTCATGAAACTTGTACAAATTGTGAAAGTGGAAAATATTTGTATAACGGAAAGTGTTTAAATTGTCAATTTTGTACGGTTTGTAATACACTAACTGGATGTACAGAGTGTTGGGATGGTTATTATCAAGACAATAAGACATGCTTAATTTGTCATCCAAGTTGTAAAAAATGTTTACAAAATGGGTGTGCCGAATGTGATGTAAAGCATTATATTGACAACAAAATTTGTTCACCATGTCACTCAACATGTTATACATGTTCTTCGAATACAGAAAACTCGTGTTTGACGTGTGAAAATGGAAGATATTATAATAATGGGTTATGTTCGGTTTGTGATTTATTATGCACAAACAATTGTGATACAGTTCTTGGTTGTACAATGTGTTCAGATGGATACTTTATCGAAAACAAAAGATGTTCTCTGTGTGATTATAATTGTAAAACATGTTCTCTGCAAAGTACAAATTGTCTTTCTTGCAATCAAGGATACTATATCCAAAATGCAAAGTGTCTTCATTGTAGTCCTTTTTGTTCTACAAACAAGTGTGACACCATCCAAGGTTGTACCGAATGCATTAATGGTTATTATAAGAACAATATGACTTGCTTAAAATGTCATGAAGAATGTCTTACTTGTGATAATGGTGGAAATAACGATTGTCTTTCATGTAAAGACACAGTCGGTTATTTGGTCGGAAGACAGTGTGTTTTGTGTGACACAAATTGTGTCCAAAACAAATGTTTTAATTCGACTGGATGTACTCAATGTAACCCACACTATTTTGTGGAAAACAAAAATTGTTCGCCATGTCATAGTACTTGTCTAACTTGTTCAAACAATCTTTCAAATGGATGTTTAACATGTGATATATTGAGATATTTCAATAAATTTCAGTGTCTTGGTTGTGACCCAAATTGTGAAACAAATATGTGTGATGTTGTGAACGGATGTATAATATGTAAAGTTGGCTATTTCCCAGAAGAAAAACGTTGTTCTGCTTGTAGTAAAATGCCAAATTGTAAAAACTGCAGCCATACAATGAAGTATCAATGTACTTCTTGTGAAGATAGATTTATAGTAAACAATCAAAAATGTGAATGCCCAAGCCACCTTTATCAAAACACTTCGAGCAGTTGTGATGAATGTTACAACATTTTACCCAACTGTAAATTGTGTAAAACGATTGAAAATTTTGGAGTAAGATGTGAAGAGTGTTTGCCACCGTATGAAAATATTTCTGGAAAATGTATAAAATGTGAAATTAACACAAATTACATTGAAAATCATTGTGTTGAAAATACTGCAAATTGTGAAATTCAAAACGGACAAAACGAATGTCTAAAATGTCGTAATGAATTTTATTTGAGAAATAAAACATGTGAACCATACGAACACATAGAATTGTGTAAAGACAACTCGGCAATAACATGTGAAAATTGTGGTAATGGAATTACAACCACTGGAAAGTGTGAGGTATCGAGTTTGTAA